GGATTACCTCTTCGGTTCCCAAATTAGGTCCATTTGATGTTCCTCCCTTGGATTGAGACCGTTTCACTCATGTTTGTCCTCATAGTCATGTGTAGAACCTATTAATCCATGTTTGGTAAGTATGGGTCCATCTAGTTCATCTTATACACTACAAGTGAGTTTCCACAATGTGGAGTCACAGAGGTACATTTCGGACTCCTTACCTCTTCCGGTTCCCAAATTAGGTCCATTTGATGTTCCTCCCTTGGATTGAGACCGTTTCACTCATGTTTGTCCTCATAGTCATGTGTAGAACCTATTAATCCATGTTTGGATAAGTATGGGTCCATCTAGTTCATCTTATACACTACAAGTGAGTTTCCACAATGTGGAGTCACAGAGGTACATTTCGGACTCCTTACCTCTTCCGGTTCCCAAATTAGGTCCATTTGATGTTCCTCCCTTGGATTGAGACCGTTTCACTCATGTTTGTCCTCATAGTCATGTGTAGAACCTATTAATCCATGTTTGGATAAGTATGGGTCCATCTAGTTCATCTTATACACTACAAGTGAGTTTCCACAATGTGGAGTCACAGAGGTACATTTCGGACTCCTTACCTCTTCCGGTTCCCAAATTAGGTCCATTTGATGTTCCTCCCTTGGATTGAGACCGTTTCACTCATGTTTGTCCTCATAGTCATGTGTAGAACCTATTAATCCATGTTTGGATAAGTATGGGTCCATCTAGTTCATCTTATACACTACAAGTGAGTTTCCACAATGTGGAGTCACAGAGGTACATTTCGGACTCCTTACCTCTTCCGGTTCCCAAATTAGGTCCATTTGATGTTCCTCCCTTGGATTGAGACCGTTTCACTCATGTTTGTCCTCATAGTCATGTGTAGAACCTATTAATCCATGTTTGGAGTATGGGTCCATCTAGTTCATCTTATACACTACAAGTGAGTTTCCACAATGTGGAGTCACAGAGGTACATTTCGGACTCCTTACCTCTTCCGGTTCCCAAATTAGGTCCATTTGATGTTCCTCCCTTGGATTGAGACCGTTTCACTCATGTTTGTCCTCATAGTCATGTGTAGAACCTATTAATCCATGTTTGGGTAAGTATGGGTCCATCTAGTTCATCTTATACACTACAAGTGAGTTTCCACAATGTGGAGTCACAGAGGTACATTTCGGACTCCTTACCTCTTCCGGTTCCCAAATTAGGTCCATTTGATGTTCCTCCCTTGGATTGAGACCGTTTCACTCATGTTTGTCCTCATAGTCATGTGTAGAACCTATTAATCCATGTTTGGGTAAGTATGGGTCCATCTAGTTCATCTTATACACTACAAGTGAGTTTCCACAATGTGGAGTCACAGAGGTACATTTCGGACTCCTTACCTCTTCCGGTTCCCAAATTAGGTCCATTTGATGTTCCTCCCTTGGATTGAGACCGTTTCACTCATGTTTGTCCTCATAGTCATGTGTAGAACCTATTAATCCATGTTTGGATAAGTATGGGTCCATCTAGTTCATCTTATACACTACAAGTGAGTTTCCACAATGTGGAGTCACAGAGGTACATTTCGGACTCCTTACCTCTTCCGGTTCCCAAATTAGGTCCATTTGATGTTCCTCCCTTGGATTGAGACCGTTTCACTCATGTTTGTCCTCATAGTCATGTGTAGAACCTATTAATCCATGTTTGGATAAGTATGGGTCCATCTAGTTCATCTTATACACTACAAGTGAGTTTCCACAATGTGGAGTCACAGAGGTACATTTCGGACTCCTTACCTCTTCCGGTTCCCAAATTAGGTCCATTTGATGTTCCTCCCTTGGATTGAGACCGTTTCACTCATGTTTGTCCTCATAGTCATGTGTAGAACCTATTAATCCATGTTTGGATAAGTATGGGTCCATCTAGTTCATCTTATACACTACAAGTGAGTTTCCACAATGTGGAGTCACAGAGGTACATTTCGGACTCCTTACCTCTTCCGGTTCCCAAATTAGGTCCATTTGATGTTCCTCCCTTGGATTGAGACCGTTTCACTCATGTTTGTCCTCATAGTCATGTGTAGAACCTATTAATCCATGTTTGGATAAGTATGGGTCCATCTAGTTCATCTTATACACTACAAGTGAGTTTCCACAATGTGGAGTCACAGAGGTACATTTCGGACTCCTTACCTCTTCCGGTTCCCAAATTAGGTCCATTTGATGTTCCTCCCTTGGATTGAGACCGTTTCACTCATGTTTGTCCTCATAGTCATGTGTAGAACCTATTAATCCATGTTTGGTAAGTATGGGTCCATCTAGTTCATCTTATACACTACAAGTGAGTTTCCACAATGTGGAGTCACAGAGGTACATTTCGGACTCCTTACCTCTTCCGGTTCCCAAATTAGGTCCATTTGATGTTCCTCCCTTGGATTGAGACCGTTTCACTCATGTTTGTCCTCATAGTCATGTGTAGAACCTATTAATCCATGTTTGGGATAAGTATGGGTCCATCTAGTTCATCTTATACACTACAAGTGAGTTTCCACAATGTGGAGTCACAGAGGTACATTTCGGACTCCTTACCTCTTCCGGTTCCCAAATTAGGTCCATTTGATGTTCCTCCCTTGGATTGAGACCGTTTCACTCATGTTTGTCCTCATAGTCATGTGTAGAACCTATTAATCCATGTTTGGTAAGTATGGGTCCATCTAGTTCATCTTATACACTACAAGTGAGTTTCCACAATGTGGAGTCACAGAGGTACATTTCGGACTCCTTACCTCTTCCGGTTCCCAAATTAGGTCCATTTGATGTTCCTCCCTTGGATTGAGACCGTTTCACTCATGTTTGTCCTCATAGTCATGTGTAGAACCTATTAATCCATGTTTGGGTAAGTATGGGTCCATCTAGTTCATCTTATACACTACAAGTGAGTTTCCACAATGTGGAGTCACAGAGGTACATTTCGGACTCCTTACCTCTTCCGGTTCCCAAATTAGGTCCATTTGATGTTCCTCCCTTGGATTGAGACCGTTTCACTCATGTTTGTCCTCATAGTCATGTGTAGAACCTATTAATCCATGTTTGGATAAGTATGGGTCCATCTAGTTCATCTTATACACTACAAGTGAGTTTCCACAATGTGGAGTCACAGAGGTACATTTCGGACTCCTTACCTCTTCCGGTTCCCAAATTAGGTCCATTTGATGTTCCTCCCTTGGATTGAGACCGTTTCACTCATGTTTGTCCTCATAGT